GTGTGTGTGTGTGTGTGTGTGTGTGTGTGTGTGTGTGTGTGTGTGCATGCGCGCGCGCTCGTGCAGGGCAGGGGAGGGGGTGATAGAAAGGAGTGGGGATCCACAAAAAGATGAACAGGTGAAGAATGAAGAAGCAGAGTATGCCAAAAACAAAGTATGCAAACATTCACACTTTTGTTTGGAATAGATATTTTAATCTTTTGTATGTTTTTCTGTAGTTTCAAATCTCCACCCAAAGCCAACTTATCATTTCCCCAAGACAATGTCATTTTTTACTCATCCCCTCCATTTTCATCAGGGGAGCCTATGTTGTTTCAGTCTTTGTAGCTTTGGAGGCGTGTTTTCTTATACTTCGGTACTCTTCATGCCCTGTATCCAATGACTCACATCTTCTACCGTTTATTTCTCAACTCCCTCTTGAATTAAATTCTTCATCCCCATTCCCAGCACTTCCTGCCAGCTGTGGTCTGATAAACCTTCCCATTGCCTCTTCTGCCTCCAGCCATTCCTGCCTTTCTGCGTTTCATATATTATTAAAACACTGCATATATTGTCTCCTCTTTAAAACAATAGTGAACATTTATTAAGCCTTACTATGGGCCAAGCACTAGCCTAAACACTTTTAAAGAAACATCTAATTGGTTCTCACAACAGTACAGTGAAATAGTTACTGTTATGATTCCCATTTTACAGAAGAAGACTAAAACTTGAAGAAAATTAAGTGATATCAAGGTCATGTAGCTGGTGAATGGCAGAACTAGGATATAAATATAAATTTATTTGATTTCAGATGTCTACCTGTCCATACCACCACCCTATTCTTTACAACATTTCCCTAGCTCTAGACCAAACTCTGCAGCTGTAGCATTCAAGAACACTCCACTCTAGCCCAGGCAAGAGAGTGAGACTCTGTCTCAAAAAAAAAAAAAAAAAAAAGAACACTCCAAATCTGGCTCTAATCTCCCTTTCTGATCTTTCCTTCGCTGATCCTTTTCAAAAATTCTGCTCTAGATAAATGATCCATTCACATTTCCCTAAATAGCCCAGGGATATTTCTACAGCTCCTCTTTTGCTGACTCCCTTGCCATGACTGCCTCGTCCTCCCATCTCCTCTCCTCTTATTAAAGGTCTGCATTTAAATCATAGCTTAAGTCTCACTTCCTCTACAAAGCCTTTCCTACCTCTTACTTATCCCTCTGTCTCATGTCTCGTGTCACTGACATGCCCAGGTTCAAGGCAGGGACCATCGGCATCAGCTTACCATAAAGGAGTTACCGGCTTCATATCATAAGACGACTGTGTTTAATGGGATATACTGGTACATTTGTTATATAATGGTATATACCATTTGGCATATAATGGTGTAATATATATTGGTATATTTTTGGAAAATGTAATCTGCTCAAATATATAAAGTATTAGCAGAATGCACGTTCACAGTTTTCCTTAGAAATATTACTTGGTATTATAAACACCATCATCACCCAACTTCCCTCACCCTCACCACATACCTACAATTTTTTTACTTTATTTGAGTTACACAGCATTGGTGCACATTTACATTTTATATCCACTGAAATAATATGTTTTACAAACTGGGAACCACTGATTCATGCCATTTACTAGACAGTTGGCATATGATAGAATATATTGTTATTATTCTATCTAGTCTGTCTTTCTTACTAGTCACCCTTCAGGGGTGAGGAGTGGCTTTTATTTTTGGTCATTAAATATGAAATGTCCAATTTCAAATCAAAAGTGTAGTTTATTATATCTCAAACAAGAAGCAGTACAATTAATCAAAGTATGCACCTAAACTATCAACATAGTTTTGCCATCTTAACGGCAGCTTGTTTATGCCAGCAGCAAAGAAGCCTGGAGACTGAGTGGTGATGAAATTGTGAAAGGCATTCTCCACAGCTTGTTGAGAATTGAATATTTTACCTTGCAAGACGTGATCCAAAGCCTGGAAGAAGTAGTAGTCAGTTGGTGCAAGGTCTGGTCAATACAGTGGATGATTGAGAGTTTCCAAGGCCAGCCTCTGTAGTTTGAACAGTGTTGTTTGTGTGACATGTGGTCAAGCATTGTCTTGCAAGAGGATTGGCCTGTCTCTATTGACCAATTTTGGCTGCTTAATCACAAGAATCCTCATTATTTTGTCCAACTGGTTGCAGTAGACATCCACTGTAATGGACTGACCAGGTTTCATGATGCTGTAGTGAATAATACCAATGCTGGACCACCAAACAGACACTATTAGCTTTTTTTTTTTCTGATGAATATTTGGTTTTGGACTGTGTTTGGGCACTTCATCTTTATCCACCCATTGTGCCGAATGTTTGTAATTGTCAAAAAGAATCCATTTTTCATCACACATAACAATACGGTGTAGAATGGTTTGCCTTTATGTCATGACAGCAAAGAAAGGCAGGTTTTGAGAAGATTTCTCTTCTGATGGTCATTTAATTCATGCAGAACCCATCTATCCAGCTTCTTTGCCTTGCCGATTTGTTTTAAATGGTCAAATATTGGTGGAACAGTAACGTCAAACCTTGCTGCTAATTCACATGTAGGTTGGGATGGATTCACTTCCACTACAGCTCTCAGCTCATCATTATCCACCTTGGTCTTAGGTCCCCCATGTGGCTCATTTTCAAGATTAAAATCACCAGAACAGAACTTCTCAAACCATTGATGTACTGTGCATGCATTAGCCACATCCTTCCCAAACACTTTGGTGATATTTTGAGCTGTGTGTGCTGCACTGGTTCCAAGACAGAACTCATATTTGAAAATAACACAAATTTTTGACTTATCCATGGTTTCACAAAAATTGCTCTTAAAAAATGTGAAAGATAATCACAAGCCAAAAACATGTGTTTGAAAGACTGAGGATGTACTTTCACAATAAAAATAAAGCAAGAAGTGTCAAAGTGAAATGTCAAAAATAGCAACTGTAAAACTTAGTACTTAAGGAAATCAGAAATTTAATACTTAATAATCTATTAATAATGCATATCTGTAACCCTGATGACTACTAGGACAGTGCCCTGCCCAGTGCAGGTACTTAATAAATATGTGTGGTTTTTATTGTTGTTGACCTATAATTGCTAACTTCAGATTGCCTGATCAGGTAGGTTTTCTATCCTGTATTAAATTGTTTATAGTTCAGATCATGTGGTCTATTCCTAACATGTATTTTCTATTTACTCTTTTTCAATAACTGCTGCCTCAAAGTGAAAAATGGAAATCTTTGACTGAATGGATTGGTAGCAACAGATCTGAAATTCTTAGAAATGTTGGAAACAGAAGCTACTTCCCACACAATCCATGAGGGGAGATAGGAGAGAGAGAGAGGAAGGAGAGAGAGAGAATTGGGTCTTATAGAGGGACAACTGCCACCCAGTTCTAGACCCTCAGGAGGTTTGTGGCTTTGGGTCCTGTGACTCTCTTCCTCGTGTGTACAATGGGGCTAATAACACTGCAGCACCAAAAGAGCAAATTGAAGCAACAGACAAGAAGATACTAGGAACCGTAGACAAATGCTAATAAATGCCAAATATGGGTAGAAAGGAAACTGGATACAAAGTACAGGTGTGTTTGGTTTTATTAATAATAAATAAAAAACCAATATATATATATTTCAGATATTTACCAAAAAAGGAACTGCTTGACAAAATAATTCAATATAGTATAATGTTAAATTGTAAGGCTTCCTATTGCTTTAAATTTTTTGAGTAAATGTTTTTATTGAAGTATAATCTACACTTTGGAGTAACTGAATTTACAAAAATTTAACTTACGTTACAGCTTTTCAGGATAACATTCACTGCATTGGGTAAAGCAGGATGTATCTAAAATTTACTGTCAGGGATAGAAGGAGCCTTGAACTGATAAAGATATTATTATCTACTGTTTAGGGCAAAAGATGTAAAATGAGCGTACATTAAGCGCCAAGCTTTTCTCTAAAAAGAACCCACTGTAAAAGCCATGAACGTGCCAGTTCAATTCAACAAATATTTAATTAGCGCTTGTGATTTCCAAGGTACCGTGTTGGATCTGAGGAGGAAGCAAACATGAATAGCTGCTCATGCCAGAGACATGTAACCAGATTGGGAAGCAAAGTGGGGCGTCATGATATAGAAAAGGCAAAACACAGGAAGAACCTGCTGGAGCTTAAAATAACTTAATTTTTTTTTTTTTTTTTTAGGATTCTATTTTGGATGTCTTTTCACATGTGCTAGGTCGCTTGTCAGCAGAGAATCCACGACCCTGTGAAATCTCTCCTCCCTATTCTTTCTTTGCTCAAAAATTCAATGAGCTCTTCTGCCATCAGCACTGCTTTTGGAACGGTATGTATTGTGTGGGTGGTGAAAAGATGGAAAGTTATTTTTGTTCTAATTATGAGAACTGTTTTACTTGGGGGGCGGAGGGCTGATCTGAGGCTGAGATGCTCCGCGAGGATGCTCCGAGGAGGCGTTACTAGGTTACTAGAGAGAGGACGGCAGGTGATAGGCGGCGGTTTTTGTAAAACTAAATATATTTGCAAAATAGGGGCGTGGGCAGACCAGCGATCAGTGCCACACGGTACTACATGCTGCATTCCATAGAGGGGAAAGGAAAGAGGTTCAGGAAAAACTGGGAGTTGTGACTTGGGGAAAGCAGGAAGCCTCTGCTTCTCCTTCCGGGCCGTTTCTCTTACCGCCCTTGTTTCCCGGAGCTGTTCTGACTGTAGCACAAGGTCGGCGCGCCCGGGGACGGTGGTATTTAAGTGTGACACGCGTCCGAGTCGGACCGGAAGCAGTGCCCCTTCGGGACCCGTAGGGAGAGGCGTGGAACGGGCGGTGGCGGCGGCTGCGGCAGTGGCGAGGCTGCTCGGCCGGGGCGAACGGGGCAGGTCCTGCAGCGGCTCGCTCAGGCCGTGAGTCGTCGCTACAGCTACCTGGAAAGGAGGAAACGACGATTTCGGGGGCGAACTTGACAGAGCAGGGAGGAAGGGAAGGGGTGTGCGAGGAGGGCCGTGGGTATATTTGGCGTCAGGGAAAAGGACCTCAAAACTCCTTCCTAATATCCTACTAGTTGGTTATAATTTTTTTCTTTTTGGATGACAGATCTTGGAGACACCCGGCGTGTCCCTTCTCGAGTTTCCCTCGGCTCTTGTCTGTTGATTCGTAGCCTGAAGTGAGTGAGAGCTTTTTAGTTCAACCAATGAGTTAACATACGTATGGGGTAGATGAAGCGGCCAGAAAAAAAAGAAATGGGAGAGTAGGTGCAAGGACAGGAAGTGGTGCCGGGGAGTGAGGGAACAACATGATACTGATGCTGATGATGACAGTAAACATTCACAGGGTTGTACTGTACCAAACACTGTTGTAAAACCCTTTAGATGTAGTAACTCATTTAATCTCCATTCCTATGAGGTCGGTAATCTTACTAGCTTCATTTTCTCAGTACGGAAACTGAGGCTCAGAGAGGTTAAGGAACAGTCGTAATGAAAGACAGATGAAAAATGCAGAGCCAGGCTTTGAATTTTGGTAGGCTGATCCCAGTATGTATTCCTAAACTCCTTATTATGGTTATCCCCCATCAAAATGTGAAGAATTTGAGGACATGGGACAAGGAGTGACAGGATGGTATGGCTTGAACAGATGTGGTAAGACAACTGGAGTAGACTTCATAAAGGGCGTGGCTGGGCTCTTCCTCTCTACAGAATTCAATGGGACAGGGAAGAGAGGTACACACCCATACCTACACCTAAGTTTGAAATTGGAATTATAGAAAAATCACAGACTTTAGAGATTTAAAGAATGTAAGGATTATTTGATGTAGTCTTCTTGTTTAACTGATGTTTAAGGACATGAAGTGAATTAAAAAGGTAACCAGGATTAGAAATATGTCTTCTATCCTAGATCCAATTCAATGAAGTTTAGGAAGTTCTTTCCTCTTTTTCCTGCTATACTTGCTGTGGTGATTATTAAAGTTTTTAAAATTTGGTATATCATTTGACCTGGAGTGGTTCCTTCCAGCAATATGAATTGGTTATTTATGACATTGAATAGTCAAATAATCCATCCAGTCCCCCATTAATGTGTACCCCAAATGCAATGTAATGCTGGAACCAGGAGTTTCTTCCAACACAATTGAGTGACAACTGAGGTCTTTCAGCGTTTCTAAGAATTTCAATTTAAAAATGAATTGAAACAAGATAAAGCTGACTAAGCCAAAGGACAAGATAGTTTACCTTGAAGAAACTTAAAAGAAAATGGAAATCTTTACATATATTGAAAAAGATAACAGGAAAATTTTCATCAATTGGTAGTGTACTCTTCGCAAATACTGTAATTCTGATGGAATGTACCTAATAATATTCCAGAGAGGCAATTTAGAATAGTTCAAATTGTGGGTTTAAGAATCAAGTAGATCAATCACTTACTTGCTTTGTAAAATTGATTGACTTAACTTTGTCCTTGATTTCTTCATCTCTAAAATGGAGATGACCGTTTCTAATTGGCAGAATTAGAAGCATTGTTTGTAAAGTACTTAGCACAATGTCTGGAATAAAATTGGTGATAAATACACAATAACTCTTACTACTCTGAATCAAATGAAAGTGAAGCCTTGGTAAACCTTGTATGCAGTCACTTTGTAGCTTCTAGCCCTGGTTTTCAGTAGAAAAATCAAAGAATAGCCTCCTTTGTTCTTCCAATGATAATTAAAGGTGAAAAATGTTGATGCATTTTCTGAAGTATAGGTCTGTTATTTCAAAGTGAATGAAAGTTTTATATGGTTAGATAGCCCATAAATGGTGATCTGCTCACCATGGTCCTTTAAAACTATTGTGAGTGTGTAAGATAACTTAGTTTTGAACTTAGTTCAAAAGTTCCGTTTCCTGAACAATTGGCTACTTTGTTTCTGAATAGCTGACTTTATACTCATGTACAGATGCATGGTCATGGAGGCTATGACTCTGATTTTAGTGATGATGAACACTGTGGAGAATCAAACAAAAGGAAAAGAAGGTAAGTAATTT